AGCCTGTGCCGGCCGCCGCCTCCCGCCGGTGGTGCCCGGGGAAGGGGCAGCACTCGGCTGGGAAAGTTTCGGGCGGCTTCCCGGCAGTGCGGGCGAGGGCGGGTGTCCAGAGGGGGAAGGTGCCTTCCGCGGGAAGCGGGCGCTGAAGGTACAGGAATGGGAACGAAAGGAGTGAGGCAGTGCAGGACCTTGAGCACCCAGGGTTTTGACCTGCCCGTATCTGCAGAAGGAGAGCGCTGAGAGCGGGCTGTGTGCGGTTTGAATGACGGGATGGTCGCACTGCAGCGTTTGGCTGCTCCATCCGTCCAAACTGGCTCTGAGCCTCTATAGCTTGCTATAAACTTGTGTCGGGATGTGAGGCCTCTATGCCATGTCCAGCATGGGCATTTCTGAAAAGTCTTGCAGAAAAAGAGCGCAGTGCTTTGTCTCCTAATGCCTTTATTTACTGGTGGTAAAAAAAGTGATGAGAAATTAATTCTGACTCACTGTTTAGGCCCATGTCAGATGTCTTTATGTTATGGAATAAGTATCAGACTGCCTGTTAAACTCAGGAGATAGTCTTTGTGACTATTGATGAAAAAACGTTGATCAGCATTCATGTTTGTTTCTTCATTTGTCCTTGATAGAATACAACAGTCCATTCATGCCAGCACATGTGCACATACTTGTTGGGTGAAAATGTTGATTTTTCTGGTAGATTTGCCATTGCTGCTACAGTCCCATTCATGCCAAGATACACAAGCCTTTAGGAGTAAGGATTGTCTCCATTTAGATTAGTGGAACCACTCACGGCTAATGCTACTTGTGTGCTAAGGTGTTGAAATGAAGCAGGATTTTATGTTTGTGGAAACAGATTTAAATAACTTGTACTCCTGGCACACAGATCATTTGATAGGTGATGGTGGTAGTGTGAGAAAAATTAGTTTTGAGAAATGTGACAGCTTGGTAGCAGTGAGGGCTTTGTAGTTCCTGGTTGTATGTAGGGTTTTTAAGTAGTATTATACTACTAGTAAGATGTAAGTTAGGCTAAATTAAACAAGACTAAGAATAGCAAAGACATTCATTGTCCACATCCATCCCAGCGACGAAACCAATGATTCATTCTCCTGTCACAAAAAATATTACTCGCCTCTGGGGAATGATTAAGTAGCATTTTGCAAGCTTGCCTAAGGCTCTATTTATAAGGGTTGCAAAAACAGTGAGCCATTGGCAATAGGTTGGCAAGACAAGACAAGTTTAAGATGTGAACACCTTCAACTTTTGTCCTTTTCAAAGATATTTCAGCTGAAAGGTGAAAAGCTGACAGGCATGCATAATATTACCTGAATCGAAGTTTGAGCTGGTAAGTGCTGTATCTGTTTGCCAGCCACATGATAAATGAACCATATTTATTTCAAAATTAAATGTCAGCAGTTAAAACTGGTGTTCTTTGTGGATGCAGCCAGGGAGTTCATGCTGCACTCTGTGTTCAGGAATCTGCTGTCCATGTCCCTAGTAATGCCCACCCTTGTGAAAGACTGATTTGGAGGGATGCTTGTTTCTCTGAGAATATGCATGCATTTCTGATGGGAGTGCAGAATTTTGTCTTGAGTGTTTTAAATTACTCAAGTGGTTAGCCTTACACCACTTCCTTTGGGAAGTGATTCCCAAAGCTGAGAAAAAACTCTGAGAACTTTTCCTGCTGTTCTTTCTTCCTGATTCATGATTTCATTCCTCTCTCTAAACCATCCTCTCTATAACTCTCATTGGGTAGTTATGCTGTAGGTCAGATTTGAAAAAAGCATATTTGCTATAGCAGCAGCTCAGGAACTAGATAATTTGGGTAGCAGAAAGGCAAACTTGGGGAGAGCCATGCACACATGGCCTGGGCACGTGCTGTGGTCTCCCTTGCCCTGAATGTAATTCCCTTGCTGCTGCTGGTATGAGTGCCCGTCAGTTGTTTGTAAATAGTTGTCATGCCTACCTTTCCACCCAGTCTCGATTTAGTTGAGTGATGCACACTTAGCTTGTGGTTCTCCCAGCTTCTCATCTTCTACAGGCTTCGTGGTTGGCTATGGCTCTTGGTACTGAAACATGGTACAGCAGCTGTGATGGCTCAACAGGCTGTTAAGTACCTTCTCTTGATGGGACCCTTTTAGTAAGCAAAGGCTCTCGTTCTGCATCGGGCTCCCTTTCCTTCTAGTGGACAGCCATGCGGAGTCCCTGTTGTTCCTCTCCTGCACGGGGTCCAGGGGCTTGGGTTTCTTCATTGTGGACCTGCTCATGATGCCTGGTGCAGCCTTTGCTCATGTCACCTGTCACTGCTGCACAGGACGTGGATGTGTGAGCTGTGCTGCTTTCTCTGGTAATTCTCACATGGTGTGGGGGGTGAGTTTTGTGGAAGAAGGCTGGATGGAACTTGGTGGCCATTGGTATACCTGACCTTCCTCTTCCTCCTCATTCCTTTATAGATGTGTTTGGTACCCCTTCCATGTAAGACAGACTATTGTAATCAGTGAGACATTGCACAAATGACGTTCAATCAGTATTAATTTTAATGAGCTTTAAGGTTGTTCATGCCACCTCATGTGACACTTGGAAAAGACGTTGATTTGACAGATCTGGAAAAAGACAGAATCCGTACTTTACAAGAGCAGAGCCTATTCTGCCTCCTTTGGTTTTTTTAGAACATCATATGATTTATTTTTTCCAACTTTTGTTTTGGATGGCCAATCCCCTTGGCATCCTTTTAATTCTTGGGAGCTGCCGGCAGCCCTCTGAGAGGGAATGGTTGTTGTGAGTGCCTTTTTTCTACTTTTTTTTTTCTTTGCCTTTTAAGCTGCTTCTATTGGTAGAGCTCATAAAGCAATTACATAAATTAAATCAATCCTAAAAATGTAATTAAGGCAATATGTAGTTAGATTTATTTTGGAAGTGTCATTAAAAAGTACTTGCCAGTATATGTACTGTTCCCCCATGACTAGATTTTTAAGTCAGCTGCTATATTCTGTGCCCAGTAGAAAATTTCCGGTCTCCCTGCAGCAGAAAACTCAGAGTTCAGTCTGTGTTTTCCTGCCTCTCATCTCCCATCTGTCTTTATATTGCTGATTCTACAAATTGTTTCACTTGCCCCACTCACCTTGCTTTGAAGTCATGTTCTAATAGCAGCGTTCTCACTGCCAGTTTTAACATTGCTGGTTTGAAACTCAAGGCTTTTTACTCTGGTGTAGGAGTGCAGGGATGTTTTTTAGACAAAACACATCTCAAAGCTGTACATGACAATAAGTTTTTTTTGTAGGGGAGCATTAGCTTTTTTTTTTCTGAAGAGGAAGTTTGTTTGCTTTTCAAGAGGGAGGGGGTATCAGATTTGAGAACAAATGTATAGATGAACAAATTCTGCGGTTCTGTCTCCTGGATAGATACTGGCAATATCTGTGTCTGATTTAATGCTCCTTTTATGTTAGAAAATTTAAATATGTTGGATAGTTCTAATGCTACTGAATATTGTAATTTATGGTGGCAGATATGTTCTCCTTTTTTCTGTGTAGTTCCTCCTTGCTCTGTTCTGTGGTGTATTGTGTTGCAAATTTTCTAAAAAGGATGCTGTTCCTTGTCATGCGGTAACCAGAGGGGACCACAGTATTGACCAGTATCTGTCAGTTGTTGTGGTTATGGCATTTCTGGGGTAGCCTACAAAGCCATTTTTGTGTTTACCCACAAATAGGAAGACAAATTCTATTTCTTTTTTTTTTTTTCTTTTCTAACTTGTTCTGTGTAGGTGTGGTCCAGTAACCTGAACTCCTAAAATTGAAAGTCAGAATAAATTTATGAGAAGACTTTTTCTCTGAACTTTTTTCTCTCCCACCATATGAATTATTAGTGTATGTACCAGTAAAAAGTACAGCTTCTTACAGCTTCATTGTAAGAAATTTTTGTGTGCTTTAGCTGTGTGAGTTTCTAGCCCAGTTTAAGACACGTAAGCTTGCTGAAAAGATTATCTTGGGAATATTACACAGAAAACGAAAATTCTAATTTCTGTGAATGAAAAATGAGACACTAGGAAGTTTGTTATACATCACTAAATAACGTGATTGTCAGTACTCAAGGTGCTCTCTTTAGCAGAATGTTGTTATTAAACATCTTGTATTTTTGTAATAACCCCCTTCTCTTACTTTTTTATTCATAAACTAATCAGCGTGATTAGTGGACTTCCTGAGCTATTGTATTCTCTCATTAATGGATTGGATATGTTCAGAGAGATGGTAGAGTCTCTGCTCTATAACAAAATTTGCATATAACCAAGCACATGGTAGGGGAATTAGCCTGATGAGATTATAATATTAATGTTTTCTTTTGCAAAAGGTAAACTCCTGCTTGGAAACATCTTTGGGGTGTCACTGAGCAGAGGCTCTTTAATATATCAGTGATTTTTTTTTTGCTATATCTTTCTCATTTCTCTTTACAGTCAGCTGCAAAATGGGTTATGAAACATGCTTTCTATCTTAAAAGCAGTTTCATGTGTTTTTTTTTTCTTTTCCAACAGCAGCAACAAAATGCCACTATTATTCTTGTGGTTTTATTAGAGGGGAAAGTTTTGAGTAACAAAGCTGAGGCTGGAATCTTAACTTTGTTATTGCTTGTAAGAGCTAAGAGGATACTGATCTTCTCTCACCGTCCTTTTCATTCCTTTATATCACAGAAAAATGTTTTGAGAATCTTTGTTAAATTAATGCAGTTCTCACATTTTGTCAGCAAATCATTAGACTATGAAAGTTGCTTTCTCAAATATTCTCATCAGTAAGACCATGTTTAAGTGCAGACTCCTCTTTATAATGGTCATAAACTGCAGCATATACAATATCTAATCCCAGTATTTCTGCCCCCAAAATGATTGTCATCATATCTGTAGTTCTCTTATTTCTGCTTTGTGTTTTGTATGAGATCATTTACTTATACTTAACTTACTTACTTAGTTTTAACTTCTGCTCTTGATATATTCTAGTGCAAAAGCAGGAAGAAGGGGTGTTTATGTGAATTCTTGTTGTTTTAAACTATAAATTTCTCTGTAGCATTTATACTACAAAAAAGTATTTACATGTAGTTAATTTCCTGTTATAGCTATTAATATTTTTTTAACTTCATAGATAGACAAGTAGAAGCATTTTTTAT